TGGCCTGGGTTGACGAGGAAGACGCCGCCGGGAAGGAAGTAGTTGTCGCGCGCATGGAAGTCACTAGGGCGGACTATGTCCTTGAAATACGGCGAGTCCTTTGGGCACTCACTCAAGTCCTTTTGCCAGTCGCCGTCGTAGATGGCCGCCTGCGCCTGCTTGAGCGAGGCGGGGACGTTGCCGCCTGTGAGATTCGCACCGCGCTTCACGACCGGCGGTGCGACGCCGCGCAGACCGCGCTCCGTCAGCGAAAAATCTGCGGGGTACGTGTGCACCGCCGCTGAGAACGCCGCGAGCGCCACAATGCCGAGCACCAAAACCGGCGTGATCCACTTGGCCTTGCGCCGGCGCAGACGCAGCTCGACGTCTTCGTACGTAAAGATGCTCAAAGCGACTGAGACGAGGAGAATGAACCACGGCTCGGCAAAGAACGGGCGCGGCGCCGTCGCCGGATACCGATCCCCAGAGAATACAAGGAGCGGCCAATGCCAGAGGTAGAGGCAGTAGCTGATCTTGCCAATGTAGACAACAACGGCGTTGCTGAGGATGTAGCGGTTGAACGGCGTGCGGGGACCGGCCGCCATGAGCAAGGTCGCGCCGACAGTCGGGAGCAGCGCCCAAAAGCCGGGAAACGCGCGGTCTTCGTTGACGGTGGCAAAGCCGACGACGACGAGACCAAGGCCAACCACCGACATCCAACCGCCATACTTCGGCGCATTGTCGGATGTAGCAAGCGGCTCCAACGCCTGCGACGCCACGTAAGAGAGGAGACCGCCCATGGACATTTGCCAGAAGCGGCAGAGCGGCATGTAGAACGACACCTTGTTGTCGCGGTAGCCGAGGAAGGCAATGTTGGTGCCAAAGCTCAGCACCATAAACGCCACTTGGAAGATGATCGCGCGCTTGTACGAGAGCTTCATGATGATGGCGCAGAAGAATGGCCAGAGAATGTAGAACTGCTCTTCGACGCCGAGCGACCAGAGGTGCAAGACCGGGTTCGCACCCAGATCAAAGTACGCCTTCTCGAGCGAGAGCACTTGGAGGTTGGCGGCAAAGACCGTCCCGGCAAACATGGTGGCGGCCATGAGCTTGAGCTTGGGCGCCATGAGGTAGAGGTACCCGAGCCAGAGCGTCGCGCTCAGCACGATGATGAGCGTCGGGAAGATGCGGCGGACGCGGCGCTCATAGAAGCTCGCGTACGTAAACTTGCCGCGCTTGTGCTCCTTGAAGAGGATGCCGGAAATGAGAAACCCGGAAATGACAAAGAAGATGTCGACGCCAATGAAGCCGCCGGGAAAGAGCTTGGGGTACGCGTGGAAGACGAGGACGGGGAGCACGGCAAGCGTACGAAGACCGTCAATGTCGGGCCGGTAGCTGTGGCTCGGCGCGGGCGGCGCGTGGTCCGAGAGGAGGACAGCGTCGTACTCTGTGTCGGGCTCGTCGATGTTGGAGTTGCGCTTGTCGATGTCGGCCATTTGCGCTCCACTTGACCAAAGGGTTTGTGACGTTGAGTGAAGTTGAGGTTGAAGGCCGTGTTACACACCTACGTCACAGCTGGGTTGGACCCTTGCCCCACCCGGACAACTATTGCAGAAGATCATTCCGCCCTCCTCGTAGTGGCCTCGCCTCGCCCAGGAGGCTGAGAGCCGCGCACGGTATACACGCCGGCCTCGCACCTCCTCTCGACCTTGATCACGAGCCTGCGCTGCCTTGAGCAAACAACGTAAGGTAGCCACCTCAGTCGCCGAAGTCGTGGCTGTCCTGTCCAGTCCAGCCGTTTGTCCGGGTTGTATGTCTGGGAAAAACGGGGCAGAGCCGCTCAACCCCTCTGGGCAAGCCCGCAGGCACCCACCCACGAGCCCAGCCACCCATCGACTATCTCCCGGGCGCGATTCAATCGACACGATGGACACTCTTGAGAGATAGTACTGCTTCTGATATGCATGCTGGCTGCGGAGAGATGCGATGACGAGGAAGGTACACATACATGGTTCTAAATTGGTCGCGATTCAAGCGCAAGCTCGGATTACTTTTGGAGGCGCGCGGCGTCGACGACTTGGTCGATCACCGTGAGGTAGCTGCGGGCAAAGTGCGTGTTGAGGTGCA